GCTTCTGAATTTCCAGAACAGCAAAATATATTTCTCCAGCATGTTGGCAATGTTGACTGTGTTGACTGTTGTTATCATGCATGGCCTTTCTCTTTTTACAGGAAAAGCCAGGGTTTCTTGCTTCTAAATGTCCAGAACAGCAAAATGCTGGGAGTTTCCCACCTTCTGGCAGTGTTGACCGCAGTGTTGCAGGTTTGATCCTGCGTGCGCAAGTCGACCCAGCCTTTCGCCTGCCTCCCCACAGCCGAAGGGACAGGTCCACTGAATTCGACCACTCTCCCCACGCATTCCCCTTTAAATTCTGGGGCAAGATGAACTGCGGCCTGGTGGCGGCCACATGGCATGTAGCAGCAGTAGGTGTTCCCCAGTGTCTCCACCGATTGTCCGTCACGAAAGAGAGTGAATTGCTGTGTCTTCGCGGGAAAAGGGTGGGCATGCACCGTCAATTTCCAGTTACTCGACACGACCCTGGTAGGAGTGCAGAAGATGCAAAGGCACTTCTGGGCGTCGGTGGATGGACGAAATCTTGCACAAAACGTGCATGCATACTTCAAGCGATGGGGGCATCAAGCACCGCACCCCCTACTTCATGTTGCTAGCTTGGACTACTTGAGCGATGCCTGATGTAGGCCATCAGAGCATATCCGGATCGTAGCCTTTCACAACCAAAGTTAAAAAGGGGCGCGGCAAGCCACTGAAAGATGTTTATTTATGAGGGGTAATGCAAATTTTGTCCCTTGTGGTCCGGTGGTATATCTATGGTGGTGCTCGATCTCAGTTTTCTGTGCCGTGCAAGGTTTAGACTATGGCTCCAACGGCTCAGTTTCACAAAAACCCAGACATCCCTTCAGGACATCCAGGAGGGTTCAGGAGTTCACTGAGGTCTCGTTCGAGGAGAGCGCCTGGAGTATTCCGCTCCTCGCTGGATTGATCGACGTCGGCATTTTCGATACGATGTTCGCAAGTGCCTTGGTTTTTCTGAACCTTTTGATGCAGTCGGCGTTTTCCATCATTCTGCTGACCCCTGCTTTCATGGGTGACGAGTTTGAGAGCAAGATCCAGAGCGCCCAATCGTGGCGAACGAGCGTGGCCCATGATGAAAGGTGGGTAGATGCAAAATGCTTGTTTGACGTGCGAAGTATGTTGAGATTTAATCAAGCTCTCCATCGTAGTGTCCTTGTGCTTGGTGTTAGCAGCAGTTCCCTGATGCCTCCAGGTATATGGATTTGGCTGGTACCAGCTTGGTTACTCGAGTTTGCAACGGCGATGGGTCTGTGATTCTATCGACTGTGCAAGCCACCCTGGTTGAGCATGTCAACAGCTTCCTTGGCATGGAAAAGGACGAGTTTACTCTGCCGGCTTTCCGGCCGGGAATTCTTCTCTGCATGCTTTGCATTGTGCTTTGGACGCTTTGCATCTACAAGGAGCGCTCAGCCTACCATGTAGCCATAGCCATGGCTGGAAATGTCTTCCAAGTTTTGTTTATGGATACACTTTAAGTTTTTCATAACTGGGGTAGAGAGCAGAGTAGAGTTGAGTGCTATTGGACCTATTTGCTTTAATGATGTATTTTCCTTTCTAGCGGGTTCTCTGGGTGTTTGTTCACATTCTTTCAGCAGATTCAACGGACTGGGATTTCCTCGTTCTCGGCATTCTGGATCTCAAGACATCTCGGCCTGTGCTCTAATTCCTTGGGTTGTTGAAGGGGGCTCAATCCTGACCCGCAGGAGTTCCGACGGATTTGGGTACAGCTGGAAGCAGCCGCTGGAATTCCGAAGGCTTGTCCTCCAAAGCATCACAGGGGTTTAGGGTCTAGGGGTTGGGGTTTAGGGTTTTTTTCTTGACGACGGTGACCTACCGGACCCCTGATAGAGCCCTCCCGAGACCACTGAAGCCTAACCGAAACTCTACCAGCGCCCTACCAGCGCCTGCATATTAATATAGGGGTCGGCATAGTTTGTCATAGTAGCCCCTCCTATTCTGATTACTATGACCCCCTAAATTAAAGCGTTTGCAGTCGTAGCCTTTTGCGCACTGGGCGTCCACCGCTTGGGGCTTTTCAGGTAACGTAGAGCCTGGACTAATGACCAGAGGTATTCTTTCTAATAAAGCTCAATAACCCTAAACCTGCTTACTTGTACTATACTGTAGCGTGCCCGGTTCACCCGAGAACCCTACTCTTAGTGTAGAGCGGCCTGTAGAACCAGTCAAGTCTCCAGCCTCTTATGTTTCGACTCCTGAACCGCCAACCCATCCTGACCCTCATCGTTACCTTTTTAGCCGATGTTGTACGTGGTGTCGCATATGTCAGTATGTGATATGTGTCACTCCAGGGGGGCACTGTACCTCATTCTGCCGACTGTCGCAATCGCATTGTGCTAATACTGGCATGCCATGCTGATGTCCAGTATACAGACATGGAAAGTTGACGGGGTGGACAGTTCTGGCAGCCAGCCCCTTCAAGACTTGGGGCTTGACAGAGAAAGCTGAGCTGACAGGCTGCACAGATCTGAACAGTGTTGCGTCGGAGCTTCAGGGAGAGAGGCTGAGCTTGTTGCCAAAGAAACGGTCACCGCGACGCCTTCACGCCGACCTGCGTTGCTGCATGCGTTGTTTCGAGCAATGCTTTAGCCATCGAGCGGACCATGGAAGTTTGTGTTTCAGTGACACCTGTGCTTTGTTTCTGCTTTGTAGTACGTCGCTCGTTTTTCGGAGCCTGACGTGCTTGCGAGGGGGCGTGTCAAGCAACAAGCGAAGCCTAAACCGTCCGACTGCTTTGAAAGGCACGTGGAACCTCCTTCGGCGAGAACACCTTCGAAACCATGTCGTGGGGTCGCTTTTGCTTGCTCCTAGGCAGAGAGTTCAGACGTTCTTGAGTTTGTTTGGAGCGGGACTTGTTAGGGCACGGACTGCTGCAGTCTCAGCAGTTAAATAAAGCTCTCCCAGGGTGATGCTCAGTATTTGAGAAATGTTTCTTTGTCTCTCTTTTGCCTCTGCGCCAATGTCGCGACTTCTTAGTCCCTTGATCACTGAAGCGAGGCTTTTATTGACCTATGCTTGCCGGACTGTCATTGCTTCCGTCTTGCTGGTGGCTGGCATCCTGTGGCTGGCAAGGACTACTTCCATTTCGGAGCTCATGTTGAACGCGGTAGCACTCAATGCAATTCTGGATGTCGATGAATTTCTCTTTGTGGGCATGACGCCTATCAAAATTCAGCATGCCATTCAGAGCCTGGAGCCCATGCAAGTGAAATACAGCCGGCGGCGGAGTGAGTGCGAATCCGTCGTTCATTTCTTTTCTCTGGTGGCTTTGGTCTCCTCCACTTATTTCTTCCAGCTGGCTCCCCTCACCGATGCCATGCTCGACCTGAAGAACGAGCTCTGCGGTGGCAACCAAAGCTTCGTGGTTGGCTTCAACCCCGACACTCAGCTCACGCATGCCCTGGTCACGCCGACAGCTTTGGAAATCGGCAGAAATCTGACACTCAGTGAGTTGGGAGTGCAAGCCCACAAGGCCACCTCGCCGGAGACGACCCCCGGAGAATCTCCAACCTACCTCTTCTTCTCTACAGACAAGAACACATTCAACAATGATAATACCAGAAGCGTTGAGCTTGAGGGTGGCATGATCCCCTTTTGCCTTGAGACCGCGATCATAAACTCAGATGGTTTATATCACAACGATTCTTCACTAAGAGAGTGGACAGACGCTCTAACCAGGAATGCTGCAGCCAGCGTCGGACTCCATGAGGCACGCAGTTGTGAGGAGATGCGTGGGATGTGCAACAGTGCGGACAACCGCTTGTTGCGAATGGTGTGCGGCGAAACATGTGGATGCACAGATCCTTACAGCAGTGCTTGGTACAAGGTGGCAGCTCAGGGATGTGCTCCAGTATGCTTACAGCTTGCACAGGCGAGTTTGAGTGGAGGGTCGTGCGAAGATGCAGCCAATGATGCAGACTGGCAGGCCTTCTGGAGAATCTATCCAGAAGCGGTATCGCATTTTTATGGTGCAGATGTGACACAAACTCTTCTTTGGCCACGTGCAGTCGAGACAACCAACGCGATGCTGCAAGATGGATGCGCAGCGCTGTCGCAGTTTCCGACTGACGTGATGACCAACGCCGAATGGTGCTCCGGGATGCCACAACTCTTTCGGCCTTTGTCTGTCGTCTGTCCTCAGAGTTGTGGCTGTGGGCAGCGAGCGGATCTCGCACATTGCCCTGCCAGCTGTGCCTCTGGCAACTCCTCGGGGTGATATCGAACACATTTTCAGGCAGGCTTCGCAAAGCGAGCACAGCTTTTCGTAACAACGAGGTCCTTCGTAGTTTGACTTCAGTATGTATACTTACAAAATATTAAGTAAGCAGTAAACATATACATAAATCAATATATACTGCACCTCTTGTGTTTATATGGCCTTTCAGTTTCATGCTTGCGTATCTTAAAGTCGCAAACTATCAAAGAAGCCTGGCCAAGTCGCCAAGGCTTCCATGAACTGAAGGACCGAATATAGGGGCCTAAATAATTACGAATACTGTTTCGGGGGTCCGTTTGCTTACGAAAGATAGAGAGACAGCCCTCTTCTACTTATTCAGGCTCCTTATGTTGACCGCTTTCCACTGACAAGCGCCATTCCCGCGCCTTGAAATGTCCGGTGCTGCTGGGGTTTGTGTACCCGGAACCTCACCTTGCGATGTGGACCTCGTTTCTCTTTTCAGCAGACCTACAACTTCTATTCTAGACACAATGCCCGGAGTGAAGCAAAGTTACTTGGTGCTGCTGGGCCAGCGTGCATAATTACTGCGTCAACCACGAGCATTCTTTCGGTTCCAGGGATTTCTGGGCTTTATTTGCATCGGGTTTGAGACATAACAGGTATAGCACAAGCCTCGAGCAGGATGTCCAGTTTTCAATTGATGTGCACGTGCCAAGAAATCAATGGGTATCCTATCACCACAACTATTTGCAACTGCAGCAAGTCTTGGATTGCATACAAGGATTTGGTTCAACCACTTCGTTTCCGGCCAGTTGGGTGCACGCCTCAGATCAGCAGTTCGACTGCGGAATTTCTTAGCTGAGATGAACCCTAAACCTTAAACCCTACTAAACCCTGTTTAAACAGAGGAAAAGGCCGCACAGACTTGTCAGACGCGAACCGCGGGGGGAGGCCCTCGGGCCAGGGGCTGCGTCCCCATACTGCCACTGCTACCGCTACTGCTACGACTGGTTTACGGTGTAGGGTTTAGGGTTTAGGGGTTTAGGGCTTAAAGGGTTTAGGGTTTTAGGGGTTTAGGGTTTAGGGTTTAGTACTTAGGCTGCTACTGACTGTTGCGACGACGACGACTACAGCGACTCAGCACACCTGTTGCTACTGCCTTGACCTACCACCTACCCGCCGGCTTGCCTCCACGCCGCCGACAAGCCCGCCTAGGACCATGCAAGCTATTCACGTCCTTTTGCATCTTTACCCATACAGAACTTGCGATGGCTTCAGCGCCGGGCCGCGACACTTTTGCCAACACCGCATCATTTTACCCCATTTGCTACTCTACAACCTTTACTGCTTCTTTGGTATCATACTTGGCCGGGAATATCAGCAAGATACTCTGTTAAGTCCTTCCCTGGATTTTGCTTGCGGTTTGATAACTGAGGGCGCGATCCATGGTTGGTGCCCCCTCCCGACGATCTTCGTGCAGCTCTGGACGCGGAGAGGATCGCACAAGGTTTGGATTGTCACTACGTGTCCGCTTATACTGGTTAGCACTGTCCTTCAAGCCCTAAACCCTAAGCCCCAGGAGGCAAAAAAAACCCTAAGCCCCAAACCCTAATAGAACCGTGATAAGGGTGACGCCCCCCCCCCCCCGATCCGACAAAGAGCACGGCCAGGGATTATGTGATGTCTACATACTATAGTAGAATAGGATTTGGTTTAGGGTTTAGGGTTTAGGGTAGTAGTACAGTATGCTACCATAATGTATGACAGTAGACTGGAGCTTCGGTAAGTGAATGGCAGGGCTGTTCAAGATGAGCTGTTGGGATCTAGGGGTGAGGGTCCCCAGGGCTCAGGGTCCGAGTTCTCTGAAACATAAACCCGAAAACCTTAGGGTTTAGGGTTTAGGGTTAGGGTTTAGGGTTTAGGGTTTAGGGTTTAGGGTTTAGGGTTTAGGGTTTAGGGTTTAGGGTTAGTTTAGGGTAGAGACCGCCCAAATACCAATCATCCCTAGGCCCGAAACAGCCCTGAAAGTCCTGCTGCTGTTGTCGTAGCCACCAATACTGGTTTCGATGTCTTTGCTCGTGTCAACACTGATATTGACGAAAACGGTGTTGAGAATCTATCTTCAAGTTATGGTGCACCTCACTTCACCGTCAGCTTGGTACTTGTCGCTGTTGCCAGAAACCGCGTCTTTATTAATCATGGGGCGAATACGAAATCTAAAACGAGAGCTGCCGCATGTCTCAGGTAGGTTGGTTCTAGATTGTAGATGGGCAGTTGTCAAAATTATGGTCCCTTTTGGCGTACCCTAAATAATAGGTGCCGTATTATAATAAGGACCCAAAAAGGGACCTGACAACCGCCCAGATGAGACTTACCTCGACCCACCGACCACGAGGACTTCCGAAGCGTCGGATGCAGACAGCAGCTGCTCCGACGATTTCAACCTGGGCGGTGAAGTGGCGCTGGAAAATGGTAATGGTTCATTCTTGATGGCATGGGCAAACGAGCAATGTCGGGTAAGCAAAATGTTCGTCCCTATATTAAGTCTACTTTGGACATAATTACACTAGCTGCACAGGTCTATCACATGCCGCAGAGGATGCTGATTACAGGAACTTGCATTAGTCGGCCGAAGACTCAAAGATGTCAGCCATGGGGATTACAGAGTACTACAGATGTCGCAAAAGTCTACATGGGTCATAGGTCGCTTCTCTGCTACCGCCAGTCCCTCGAAACCCAGGCGTGGTTGGTCTTAACAAAAATATTAAAAAAGTTATGTATTTATGTTTTTTTATATGTCTATGTATATATAGAAATGGTGGACGAATCCACACAGCAATCGAACCCTCGCAGGTGCATCCAGTCGCCCCATGCCAAGAGCTCGGTTACACGAGGATGAACCTGGGGATTTAGGGTTTCATCTCAGTCATGAGCACTGTCTTGTGGGTCAAGCTGGGCAGTAAGGGCAGCAGCAGAGTCCCTTGTGAAAAAGGGGTTTAGGTTTAAGGTTTAGGGTTTAGGGTTCAGGGGGTGAGAGTGAGAGAGAGAGAGAGAACATACTTAAGCCAATCGTACGTAGGTTGACGGCCTGATCGGCAAACCCTAAGCTGCCTTAAACATACAGCCTGAGAGCCCCCAAGCGCAGCCGAAAGGAAAGTTAAGACAAGAGCAAAATCCTATAAACCCTAAGCCCTAAATCGCCTTAAACCAAACAACAGCTCACTAAACCTTAAACCCACCCCCACAAGAAGCCTTCAACGGAAGCTCCAGGTGGTAGCGAACGCATGTGTTGCCGCGCGGACCTGAGCCGGGAAAGTTCGCTGCAATTTGGTTTAGGGTTTAAGGTTTAGGGTTTAGGGTTTAGGATTAATTTTGGGGGCCTTGGAGGGTTTAGGGTTGAGGGGCCTTAGATGGCTTTAGTAAACGGAATCGGGTTTTGGGGGTATAGTATGCGATACTTAATACCCGTCATTACAATAAGGACCCCCCAAGTCCCCTAAGAAATAACATTGGTAGTTGTTCCGGCTGCTATAGTCAATGTAGCCAATGTTTCCTGAGCACGTGCAGGTTCTCCCCAGCTAGGGCATGGAGTTGTTCAGATCCTGGGGGTCGGAAGTTCAGTTGGTTTGCTTGCCCATGTTTGGACTTTGTGTATTATATATAGATATATAGATATACATATCTTTATTTTTATTTGTTATATTGGTTTATGTATATACAAAGTTGTCACAGCGACAGCCTGCTCCAAGATGTGTATTACTCATTTGGCTAACCATAAAGTATGCTGGATGCTGGTTGCAGTGCCTGGCGCTTCGAAGCTGCCGGAGCATTGACAGGCATCTCACGCCGACATGTGGTTTAGGGTTTAGGGAAAGGCCCCAAAGCAGAATCCATACCACCAAAACCTGGACGTAGACCTCAAGCAGAAGATGACATCCGTTGTGCATGGAGGCGGGTGCCAACCTTTCAAGCACACTAGCATTATTCGAGTATTATTATTTATAATATCAGAATTCCGCACTGCTGGAGGTGTCCCATTTGGCGTACCTCCATCAGGAGAGCCAGCTGGCGGCCCGAGCTCAGGCCAACAGCACCACCGACACAACGGCTCCCACGACAACAATAAGCGCATTCAATAGGACTTGAATAGGGTTAGGGTTTAGGGCTTTGTAAGACTACAATCCTGTTGTGATGAGCGTTTGAGACAGGGTGTTTCTGGTGATCGATTTCACCGGCTGATGAACCAGTTAGGTCCAATCAAGACACATCATTTGGAAAAGTTCGGCTTTAATTCCTTGAAGAAAGTCGAGCAGTCTTGGAAGCGTTTCACCTCAGCCGACTACGCACCAATAACCTCGCCCGGCTTGTCCGAGTGTGAGCGCCGAAGCCCACAAATCCTCTACCCCAAACTCCTACTACACCCTTAAACCTTTCGCCTCATACCCTAAACTCTAGACTCTAAACCCTAAACCCTACTACACCCTTAAACCTTTCGCCTCATACCTGGAAGCCCGAGATCTCATGTTGTGGGCGCAGGGCGGGGTAATGTCCATCTTGCGAGCACTGTCCGAGCCCAAGATGTTTGGGGTTTAGGGTTTTTAGGGTTTAGGGTTTAGGGTTTAGGGTTTAGGTCCCCAGACTCCCAAATATTTGTCACATGTTGTCCGGAGCCATGGTCAGAAATTTCCGTGCGCTGGCTGACGCTTGCAGCTTTGGACTTTTCAGACTTAGGGTCACACTGGGAAGCTCTTGATCAAACTTTCTCAGACACTGTTAGACCGCTAGAAGCGGGACGCCCACGCCCTGTCAGCACCGAATGACACTCTCCGCGTGATTGGTCTTGTCAAGGTCAGCATCACCAGAGTCGCAGCAGCCACTGCTGATAAAGAGGCAGAAAGAGGACACTCGACGAATCGGCTATGACCCCGAGTCGGGAACATGTAAGACAGCTTGCGCGCTAAGGCTGGCTTACCGTGGAAATGGCCCTGTTCAAGGAAGCATTTGCTCACAGCTCAGTGGAAGGGACCGAGAAAATCCGACGAAACCGTTACTGCCTAGTTGTGAGCGTCCCTGTGTTGGCTTCCCTGGTACTGGGCACTTTTGTTACCGGGCTTGTCTCTGTACTGCGTGCGGCAGCCAACGGTCAGCTTCAGTAGGCAGCTTGCAACAAAAAGCAAAGTTAAACTGCCGCTCGGCGGGGATGCTACCCGGTGCTACAGTCCTGGAAGCTGCCCCTTCTTATGTGGTAGGACGGAGTGGGTGGCTGATATAGAGTCGAGTTGCGTATTTGGGCTGGGTTTGGGCTCCACTGTAGGCTTAGGAAAGCAAGAGCTGTGTAAACTGTTCCGGGTTGGGTTCGACTCAACCTACTAAAAGGAAGCGTGTAGTGCCGTATATAGGATCTGTAGAGGACCGCGCATCGTCGTCTTGTGTCGGTTCCGTCAATTTCGGCGAGACTTGCGTAGTCCACTTGCGTATTCTGAGCCGTAGTCGATCCTTCAATAGAGTTCGGCTGACAAGCCGTCTCGAGGCATCTCAAAAACAGATCGTGGGCTATTGTAGCCTTACAAGTTTCGATTGCCACGAAGCAAAAGAGCAATCAGTATGAGAAGACCGTTTCGGCAAGCGGCGCTGAACTCTGACATGAGAGAGATGCACCACTCCTCGATACAAAATGTGAAGCACAGCCCTGCCGATGAAGAAGCCAACGAGCATATGCCATATTATGGTAGTGCTGTTGTGCTATATACATGTAGCTGCATCAACACGCACCTCAAACTGAGAGGCTCTCTACCATCAACAGATCTACGTTTACTCTTGCTCTGCTTCTCTTACTTCAAGCCGTGCTGCACTTCAGAGGCCGTGCCGTCGCCGTCCTTTCAGAGGGCCCGTGTGCCGCCACACAGCAGGCCAGGTTTGGAGAGCCATAGGGCAAAAGGGGCAAAAGGGGCCCCATCCAAAAAGGGGGGATGGGGGCTTGGGGTTCAGAGGCTGGGCTTTTGGGGCTTTAAGGGACACCTCAGGGTTGAAGGAGCTGACTTCAAGGAGATTTCCTATGGAACTTGTCCTTGACGGCTCATGTTTTCAGACCAGGGGTTAAGAGGTCGTCGAGCGCATCAAGCAGGGCCGTCGGGCACTCATTCATGTTCGGTTGCCGTCTGAGTATCATGTTGCAACAGCCTGGTTGCACTGCGGTTGGTGGGGTTTCCTCTGTATATCGCTGAAGAAACGAAAACCCAGCGTTAAGCGAACAGCCTGGGACCCCGTGTTCCTCAGCATGCCTCTTGCTCTGCATATGTGCACGCCGCTAAGCCCTAAACCCTATAAACCCCAAACCCCGAGCCCGAAACCACATGCCCTAAACCCTAGACGTCAGAGGGCAAACACCCCATACAACCTAAACTTCAAGCCCGAAACCCTAAACTCCCTTGAAAGGCTTCGTCCGAGTGTGAGTGTCAAAAGCTCCCTTGAAAGCCCTAAGACTCCTAAGACGCCTAAGCCGTGCTTTGGAAGCCAGGCCTTCCTCGCAGCCAGGGTACAAGACGGCGACAAGGAGGTGGGTGCAGCGCGACTCTCGGAGCAAACACGTGAATGAAATGAATGAATGAATGAATGAATGAATGAATGAATGAATGAATGAAATGAATGAATGAATGAATGAATGAATGAATGAATGAATGAATGAATGAAATGAATGAATGAATGAATGAATGAGTACATATAGATGTAAGTACATGTGTGTATGCATATTGTGTATAGATAGTTATATGGGGGCTGTCCTAAAACCGCTCGCTGTAAGTTTATACAAACCTCAAATCGACTATATAAAAGTATGCAAAACCCTCGCGCGCGAA